TAGTTGAGGCATGTGAGCTCAGTAGTTGTGGCACGTGGGCTTAGTTGCCCCACAGCATGTGGGATCTTAGTTCCCTGACCAGGGATTGAACCCATGTCCCCTGCATTGTAAGGTGGATTCTTTACCACTGGACCTCCAGGGAAATCCCTAACTTCTCAGTTTATCAAGTGGATAGGTTGATTTCAGATTCTCAACCAGTGTGCAGTATAATCTAGGGTTTTGATTTCTAACAGAAGACTTTTTTCCATATATAGCCCTGAATAAAAACAAGTTTCCTTTGTGCTTTCTCTGGGTCAATGATAAAAATCTTCTATTACTTTATCAAGGTTGAGAGGCCTTTCTAGGGTCTTAGCTTTTTTTAAAAGTTATTTATTTATTTATTTAGGCTGCACTGGGTCTTCATTGCTGTGTGTGGGCTTTCTCTAGCTGCAGCAAGTGGGGGCTACTCTTCATTGCAGTGCATGGGCTTCTCATTGTGGTGGCTTCTCTTGTTATGGAGCACGGGCTCTAGGCACACAGGCTTCAGTAGATTTGGTGTGTGGGCTCAGTAGTTGTGGCTTGTGGGCTCTAGAATGCAGGCTCAGTAGTTATGGTGCACGGGCTTAGTTGCTCTGCAGCATGTGGGTTCTTCCTGGACCAGGGGTCAAACCCATGTCCCCTGCATTGCCAGGCGGATTCTTAACCACTGGGCCACCAGGGAAGTCCTCTAGGGTCTTAGCTTTATGAAGAGGTTTTAGTTTCAGCTCCTCACCTTGAGCAGAGTCATGACCTCATATCCTCTCCTTATGTAGGCATTAAAACCCAAGTTTATAAATGCTGAGACTATATGAACTTGCAAACTACCCCCAAGACCACTGTACTAGTTTTCAGCTCGTTTGTCATTTTGACGAAGGGGGATTTATTTTCCTTTCTTGTGATTTCAGCTAGGTATTAAATTGTTCATATATAAATTCAACAGTTATAGATAGTTACAGCAGAAGGTATTCCATATTAGCTAAATCTATCATGTTTTGGGACTATAAATTCTATCCTCCAATAAGGATTAGGCAAAATATTGTATATGTATGTAGATGTGCATTATTACAGAAAATAGGTCCAAAACTTCAATTAAATTCTTAAATACGTCTACAAACCAAACAAGGGTTAAGGATAATTGCTTTTAACTTTAGATCTGTTTGTCTAAAATTTTACAGTTAAGATGCTATATAATCCCACAAATTTAGAATTCTTTGGACTTACCTTCCCTAATAGATACATAGATATAGCTATGTCTGATGATATTTTTTTATACATTTCAAGCTAATAAATTCCCATTTATCATTCGTATCTTTTCTATATCCCTAACTGCAATACACTTTTTTAAAATTAATTAATTAATTTGTTTATATTTTTGGCTGCATTGGGTCTTTGTTGCTGCACGTGGGCTTTCTCTAGTTGCGGCGAGCGGGGGCTACTCTTCATTGCAGTGTGCGGGCTTCTCATTGCAGTGGCTCCTCTTGTTGCGGAGCACAGGCTCTAGGGGCACAGGCTCCAGTAGTTGTGGCACGTGGGCTCAGTAGTTGTGGCTCGCAGGCTAAGAGCGCAGGCTCAGTAGTTGTGGCGCACTGGCTTAGTTGCTCCATGGCATGTGGGATTTTCCTGGACCAGGCCTCAAACCCGTGTCCCCTGCCTTAGCAGGCAGATTCTTAACCACTGTGCCACCAGGGAAGTCCCTGCAATACACTTTTTGAACACATTTATTTACTCAATAGCCAACAGAATGAAGATCCTAGATATCTCTTGTGCATATGAAAGTATAAATACTACAAGAAGGCGGAGGTATAGAAGAAAAGGTGGGGCTTCCCTGGTGGTGCGGTAGCTGAGTGTGCCTGCCAATGCAGGGGACACAGGTTTGAGCCCTGGTCAGGGAAGATCCCACATGCAACTAGCAAGTAGGCCCATGAGCCACAACTACTGAGCCTGCACGTCTGGAGCTTGTGCTCCGCAACAGGAGAGGCTGTGACAGTGAGAGGCCCGCGCACTGCGATGAAGAGTGGCCCCTGCTCGCTGCAACTAGAGAAAGCCCTTGCACGGAAATGAAGACCCAACACAGCCAAAAATAAATAAATAAATAAATAAAAAGAAGAAAAGGTGGGGAGTGAAAAGAATAACTAAGAAATTAATATAGTACAGAAAGAGAGTGTCTCAATAAGCACAGTATGAAGATGGTTAATATTTGAAGGTAGGAGGATATTAGCCCTCACAGCTAGGGATCAGCATTTCTAAGTGTCCATCTGTTTCATAAAGTGACTCCTTGATTAAACTGCCTAACCTCCTTGATTTTTACTCTAGATACACAGGGCAAAATATCAAATATGTATATTTGGTATATATTTAATATATATATCAAAAGTCATTACAATTATGGTATTGAAATGGTTGAATAATTCACACGTAAATGGAATAGATTAGGGAGGAAATATTCTTTATAGAAGACTATTATTAGTTGGGAGAAGAGACAATAGAAAAATTGAGAGGAAATCAATTAATTTTGTTATTTAGCCAGGCTGGATTTTACTGAAATATACTATCTAAATAAGCATAAATAAGATCATCCATATCCTTGGGAAAATTATCATCACACACATACAGGTAGAAGTTAGGAGCAACTTAATGTTTAAAGCTGACATACTTGTTTGAAATTCTTACATGAAATAAAATTCAGTATAAAACTACCTACTCACTTCATTTGGTTCCTTTAATAGCATTGGTTTTTTTTTTGGTTTTTTTTTTGTTTTTTTGCGGTACGCAGGCCTCTCACTGTTGTGGCCTCTCCCGTTGCGGAGCACAGGCTCCAGACACGCAGGCTCAGCGGCCATGGCTCATGGGCCCAGCCGCTCCGCGGCATGTGGGATCCTCCCGGACCGGGGCACGAACCCGTGTCTCCTGCATCAGCAGGTGGGCTCTCAACCACTGCGCCACCAGGGAAGCCCAATAGCATTATTATTAATTAGCAATAATGGTAGTAAAGATAAAGGTATAGTTTCTGTCTTCTAAGGACATACTTTTCAGAGTTTCTTTTCAAAATGTTCTTTAAACTATCAGATGATTTGTACATTAACAGCTAAATCCCATAAGTCTTGTCATGAGTAAAGAAGAGAAATTTCCTATGATTTTATCTATTTATTATATAAGGAAACATTTCCTGCCCAAAAGTCTACTTGACTACATGATTTTTCCATTCAAAAATACAGTATGTATTTTCCATGTGATTCTCTGCTAGCAACTAACAGCTACCAATCAAGAGAAGCCATTATATTGAGAAGCCTTTACTGATACAGTGAAAAAAACAAACATGGAATTCAAAATCGGATAGCAAATCTAAGTTTGACTACTGGCTCTGCCATTTACTAGTTGTGTGACCTTAACAAAGCTATTTAACAGCTGATCAGTTTCTTTATCTGAAAAAGTAAAGGGATTACTATGCCTAAAACAAAGGATTGTTGTGAGAATTATAGATAAAAATGCCAAGTTCTCAAAATGCTAAAAAGAAAAAAACAATAACAACTAGAGTGAGATTGTGGTACACAACCTGTTCTAGATGCCTCTTTTTCTCCTTTAATGTGAGTAAATACTGTCTAAGTCTTTCCTTTATTACAAAATGAATTATGTAACAAAGATAAAATTTCCGCAGTTTTAGTTTGTGGACCTCGAGGTTCTAACTAAGGCTGATCTTCTCAAACCTACTCACTTATTAAATTCCAGCTATGTCCTAGCACTCTTCTTATAACTAAACAAGAACACTGTAAAATTCTCTAAAATTCCTGCAACATCTCAGATCCTAGGAAATAGCAATGAGAAGAGATTATCAACCCCTGTCCTTAGGAGTCTCTTGAAGTTTGATTTCTTGAACTAAAAGACTTCTGAAAGCTATTAAAGAAGAGCCTATTGCGAAAAACAAAACAACAAATAGCAAAATCTCCCTTTCTCCTGATCTGATCCCCTAGTTCCACTTTCTTCCAGTTCTGGGCTAAGGACTTGAAAGCAAGCAATCCCATTATGAATTGAAGCAACATAATATATACCTCAAAAGTTCTTTGAGGCCTTGGTACCCAAGTGGGGAGTAGTTTTACTTTCTAAGTAAGTAACCATAAAAGATTGTGTTAAACACGTAACACTCCATTCTCAACAGAAACCATCTCTGTCTACACACTTAACAGCAACTGAAAAGTAGAGGTTAATGCCACTTTATTAGAATGCTTGCAAAGAAGTTAAATTCTATCACTCCAAAATGAAAAGTTACAAATTTGTTTTCCCTAGATACTTCCCTGTGAAAATAAATTCCTTTACTGGTAATTTACGTAAGAAACGTTTTGGTTTGTTAAAAAGGGCACTGAGAGGGTATATAACTTCAGACAAGTCATTTAACCTCTTAGATCAAGTGCTCTCTATATCCCTGCTACTCAAAGTGTGGTCCACAATCAGCAGAACTGACATCACTTGGGAGCTTGTTACACATGCAGAATATTACGCTTACTATAACTCAGTATAGGAAACTACTATACCCCAGACCTGCTGACTCAAGAGTCTTCATTTTAACAAGATCACATGTGGTTTATATATATATATGAAAGTTTCAGAACCACACCTCTATACAATCAGGGGGTTTGACTAAATGATCTTAAATTAAGGTCACGTATAACTGATTATTTTTTCAAGAGAAAAATCAGATCTGACAACACTGGCGCCTGTATTCTCATGCGGCAACAGTAGGCTGGAACTGAGTAGCAGCTGCCTCATAAGATGGGGCATGCACTCTCCTTGGCTTCCCCAGTCCTCATCTGGCCCCTCCATGTATTTATATTAACTGCTTGCCCCCTATTTAGCCACTAATCTAAATTATATAGATCCCAAGCAGTAATGAGGAAGTTCCTTTTTCAGTAAATAAGAGAGGCCTTCAGAGGTAAAAATTCATTAGCTATAAGTAGTTTTACGTGAAAGGAAATAAATTGTTCATTTACCTTGATGGGAAGTAGTGAGGTCCAGGTAGGAAGTAAGGGTGATGAAAAGCGAATCGCGGTGGCGTCCCAAATAATGTGGCTGCATGGCCAAGGGGAGGGGGCTGGCAAACATGTGAGTGTGGAATAGGAGGAGCTTGGGGGATTGGAGCACTTCTGGGACAAGTGGAGATGCTGGGATACTCCTCGGGAGGCTGGATGGTAGAGGCTGCAAATCTGGCGTGGGCAGTACTTGCATTAGTTGGAATCCTGCTGGTGCTCTCCAGAAAGACAGGAGTGGGTCTCTTCACAGAGTGACTGGCTCCAGAATGCAGCTGATGAGTGTCCGTTTCGGAGGGCCCAGCAAAGCACTGGGGTAGGAGTGGTGGACAGAGGGGCAAACTTGGAGCCTGGACAGCCACCTGGGCAGTACTGGAGATGCTTGGCTGGAAAACTGTGATGGGGCTTGGGCGCTGGACTGCAGGTGTGGGCAGCGGGATGGCAGGTGGAGCTTCATCTTTGGAAATAAAAATAGCATGGGTCAGGCATGAACTGAGTCACTCCATATTTTTCTTTTTTCAGCAGAACTTAATAAACTATACAACCAGAAGCCTTCACTAACCACCTTACCTAAGAACATCACCACGCTATTTTACCATCTTGAACAAACTGAAGCCGTCTTGTTCATTTATTTTACATTCTTGTCTCTCTTTCCCACCTAGATTCTAAGTGCCATAAGAGGAGAGACCTTTTCTGTTTTGCTCACTACTGTATCCCCAGGCCTCAAAATTCTGCCTGGCACAGAATAGGCCCTTAAAAAATATTTTTTGGATTAATAAATAAATGAATAAAATGATTGAGTGATTGAGTGAAAGACAAATACACACAAATGCTGGCACATATATAAAAATGTTTCTAAAAGAAATAGTATGAAACTACTGATAGTGGTTACTTTTAAAAGGTGGTCATCTGGAATAGGGGACAGGGCCGTGGGACGCCAGACTTTCATTTTATACCTATTGGTACTATTTGAACTTTCTATTCTCTAAATATATCAATTTTATTTTACATATTAATAGAGGTTTCATCCTAGTGGTATGGGTCATTTTTCTTTTATTTTGTATACTTCTCTATATTAAACTAAATTATAATTGACATTTAATTTTTTAATTGGAAAAAACTAAAGAAACAATCAGTAAAATTATTTTGCTTTATTGCATTCAATATGAATACATAAGGAAATTCCCAAGTGAGACTAAGACTTGCCATAGGTCAGCAATTTGTGACAGATAAGAAAGGAATATTATCGCAGCAGGGCATGCTGGATATAGCAGAATTTTTAGAGGCAAGTGAAATAATCATGTATTTGATCTTTTTGATCCTGAAGAAGAGAGGACTGCTGACCGAGTTGCTGAGTTATCCAAATGACACACTTAGCCTAAATTTAACTCAAGTTTTCCACAGAAATACAGAGAGAAGCCAAAGCAATAGATTCATGATCTAGTTTATTTCCATGCAGTTAGGTCTCTATTAATATAGAAGATGCAGTCCAAGAACAGACCCTGTGGTTAGAAATGTTTCTGTCAGAGGCCAAAAGGATTGTGAATCTTCTCTCAGCCTTGGCCAGGTAACACCTTCCTCTCCTTCCTTCTCTCCAGATAAGTCAAATAACTACCCCTCCTCCCCTTTAAACCTGGAGGTAGGGAATTAAGGGGTATATCTGTTTCAAGTTGGCCTCTGACCCAGTGAAGTAGAGGCAACACAGGAGCAGGGTGTAGATGAAGCGGTACTGATGCTCAGTTAATGGGGTTACATGGACTAGCCCTCCAATCTGTGAGGCACAGGCCTTAGGCCTTTCCTGATTAATCAAACATAATTTCCCTCTTCAGGTTCCCTCAGAACCTATAAATCTATCAAACATCACAAAATAGTGTAAATTTGCAGGTCTGCCACCCTTACCACAATCACAAAACTGGGAGCTCAAGAGCAGGAACAGTTTAATTCATGTTTGTATCCCCATTACCTGGCACAGAGCTTGGTTAATAATAGTTAAGAAAGGTATGACTAGATGAAAGAAAAAACAAACTAACAAATAAACCTATAGCTGACAGAACCTCTACCACTCATCGGGTATAAGGAAAATCTCCTCCTCTATGCAACTATGAAGCCAGGCTGACCTGTAAAATCTCTCAGTTTTATTCACTGAATTATCACTGCACTCAAGACATCTGCTCCTAAAATCTACTCTGATGCAGATTTCTTTTCCCTGTACAGTACAAGAGGCTCTTAGTCCTCAGAAAAGAAGTATGGTCATTTTAGGCAAAGGAAACACAAATTATAGGAGCCATAGAGAACAATGATATTATTTCAGTTATTGAAGAAGGAAGGGACTCATCCTTTAGCTGATACAAATGTTCTTTTCTACCAAAGATATTTTTATAAAATAAGGGGTACCAGTGAGGCATGAGGTGATAAAATCATGCATCTATTTAACTAAACAAATATTCACTTAGCAACTAACATGTGTCAAGCACCATTTTGGCCTGAGGTAAAAAATCAGATAAATCAGGTGCATAGAGAGTTATATGGTAGTATAATGAAGATGTCCTAAATGTCAAAATTCATGTTGCTAAACAAGAGGTTAAAGTCTGCAACACCTAGTCATCACTGATTTACTGTCAGTGAATAGGGAAGACTTGTGGAACGGGCAGAGATCTAATGTATCACACTGTAGATAAAGTATGGAAAAGACCAGCCAGTCACCTGGTATACAGCTTCTAGTATACAGCTAGGTTACATTTCTCAGCCTCCCTTGCAGTTAGGAGTGGTCCTGTGGCTCAGGCTAACCAATGGAATGTAAGAAGAAGTGATATGCACCACTTCTGAAACTGGCCCATAAAAAACTCTCATGCATGATCCTCCATGCTCTTTTCCCTTCTGCAGGTCATGCACACTTGGATGCTACATATCAAAGATGGAAGACCCATAGGTTAGAAGAAAACTGTGTCCATGAATCCCTTGGAAGAAAGCCAGAAATACTTATTTTGCACTTTACATGCGTAAAAAAGTAAACCATGATTCTGTTTAAACCGTTATGTTTAGATGAGTGTTGAAGCAGCTAGCATTATCTAATTGTTACATGAGGTACAGAGCAAAATTTTAGATCTATAGTACAATATGAGAAGAAAAGAAAAAATTTAAAGTTATTAATAACTTTCAACAATTCTGGCAAATCTCTCCCACCCACTCCTAAAGAGGAAGACTCTACTGCCTGTGTTGAATGGATGAAGGATGCAACCAGGCTTTTGTTGTGTGACTGGGATAAACAGGAAGGAGTAGAGAATGGCATAAACTGAGGACAGACCAAATTTCTCTACAAGAAAAAGTTGTATAGAGGTAGAAAGAAGAACAGGAGGACGAGCATATGGCTGAGGAGAGAGAAACAGAGGCAGAGAGAGGAGGAGAGGACAGAGAGAAATAGAGTAAGAGCAGAGACATAGAGACAGAGATGGGAAATGGAGACTTGGGAAGAACAGTTAGACAACTGCTAAGAAAGATGGGACTTTGGGGACAGAAATGGTAATGAGGAACCTAAGAAGACTTACTATAGTTTGAACCATAAGATTCCATCTTCCTTGCATCATAAGAAAACCTACAATAATGAGCTACATCACTTTTCAAGGAATTTTCAAGCCATATCTTTGTTTCTTATGGATATAAAACTTTGCTAGGGGACTTCCCTGGTGGCGCAGTGGTTGAGAGTCCACCTGCCCATGCAGGGGACATGGGTTCGTGCTCCGGTGCGGGAAGATCCCACATGCCGTGGTGCGGCTGGGCCCGTGAGCCATGACCGCTGAGCCTGCGTGTCCGGAGCCTGTGCTCCGCAACGGGAGAGGCCACGGCAGTGAGAGGCCCGCGTACCGCAAAAAAAAAAAAAAAAACTTTGCTAGAACTGATCTTAAGTCAGGGACAAGACCAGATTTTTTTGCATTATAATAACAGTATCAGAACATTGGAGGGTTTTTTTTGTTCTGTTTCTGTTAAATAAGAACAGATGGGTAAACCAAAATCACATCACATGTTTACTACCAAAAAATTAAAATAGTAGTAAACATTTTTAAAGTAAAAATTTAGAGAAAATGTATGAATTCAGAAGAATGAAAGATGTCAACTGAGTTTGGATGTAATAAGGAAAACCCATTTCAGGTTTGAGAAATAAAATGTAGAAAATGAAATAATCTCACCAGAAAATTCCTAAATATATAAAACTGACATTTAAAAGCCAGGCTAAAATAAATATAGCTTCTACCAAACTTCCAGAATCCTTTAAAATAAATTTGACCACTTAATGTAAAATGAAAATGCTGGCATAACTGGCATCAAAGACATATGATAAAAGAAAGTATCTAAAAAGTATTCTGGACTATCTGGCTGTAAGTACTTTCAGAAACTAGAAACAGGAGACAAGCTCACAAGATCAAAATATCACAAGATCTTAGGTAGCATTCACTGAAGAACTTTAGAGAAACTCAAAGTTAGAGCTGAGAAAATATTAGATGAAGTAAATACAAATGGTCTCTCTGCCAAAAATGCTATGCCAGAGCATTTTCCAAGTTATTGAAGTAGTGAACTTGAGAACTATAGTTTGGTAAGTCTATTTTCTACACTTAAAAAGCTGATGAAATCTATACAATGTATTAGTGTATAAAGGTTGCTAGGAAAAAAGAGCAAATTTTTTCTGATAAGAGATAAATTATACCTCACTCCTCACTAACTTGATATCTTTCTTCCATGGGAATAAACAAAACAAGTTTGAAAAACACAATTACCATGACTTTATGTTTAGAATATAATATAAAATTAATTGAAAGAAACAAAAAAAGGGGTGGTGTAAAAATTTGTATCTGTAGGTAATAAGCGATTAAAAGTAGATTCTCTTAGGGATTTGTGCTATAATTTGTTCTTATTTAACAATTTTATAAATGATTTAGAATATAAAATATATAGTGAAATTTCCAAATTTGCAACTGATAACAACTCCTCCAAGTAATATAATGCCACACTGATGAGTACAAACTAAAAGAACATATTTCAAAAGTTGTATGATTGGGCAGCAGAGTAGCCAATAAATCTCATCATAACTATTATATAACTATTAAATATATATATATATCATAATTATTATACATATAACTTTATATATCTGGGAAAATAATTCCCAAATTTTATACTTAAAAGATAATGATTTTTTTAATCATTTGAGATCCAATTAAATCTTTACTGACACTACATATTACTAGAAATAAGAGAAATTTAAAAAGAAAAAAGCAAACAAAAGCTCATTTTCCTTAGATTTGATTACTTTGCATATGGCTCTGAAATGCTTCCTATAATTCTGCTTCTCATACTTAAATAAAACATCATGGATGCGAGAGCTCTACCACTTTCTATCTCCCCAAATCTTTGCTCAGAATTGCATAAAATTAATATATTGTATAAAACTGTCAGCTGTCTCAAGTAAGAACACTGATAAATATATTTCTGGGGAGAGAAAACATACAGCATTTAACTGTGGATAGAATGACATGGAAGAGGGGTCTTAGAAAAAGGGGTAAAAAGAAGAAACAGATGATAAAAGTGTAAATCATAAATAACAGATAAAACAAGGTAAGTTTTTAAAAAAAGCACAATTAAGCCTAGATTGAAATACAGGATTAAAAGAGATACTACCAAATAGCAAAGGGTGAAAGTGCCTGCCTGTTCTGGGAGAGGACAGGGTGATAGGATCAGCTTTCTTTGCCTTGAGCCTAGATACCCTGAAAGTGGCTTTGTTGGTATCCATTGCTACAATGATACACAGGAAAAAAAACTGAAAATGTCTAAGATCCTAATAAGTTAATTTTCAAGATATCTAAACCTCTCATCACATAGATATGAGGAGGCAGAAACTGGAAAGAACAGTAGTTTCAGGACAAGTGATAGCAAGTAGTGAACGTACAAAGCTCTGCCTAAGAGATGACTAAAATAGGCTCTGGAAGAACAAACTAATGATGGATAGACCTATAACAAGTTCTTAAGATACTAGATTCTCAATTTTGGGTTCTTAAAAGCAAAAGACAGGAATGTTGTGAAGAACTGATAACAGAGGAGAAATTTAGGGCAAGACAATGTAATGAACGAAATATCTGGTAGAAGATAACTTCCATTGCTTTTCTAGGGCAGCAAAAAAAAAAATGGTCTTAAGAGATCAGTCACTACTACTATATTCCAGGACAGGATGCCTCATACCCCATCAGCAAGGCATTCTTTTATGCTAATAGTAAAAACATATTCCTATTTCCTATTGAATTACCTCAGTCATTTCCTGCATTATCTGCATAATCTATGGACTCATCCTGATTTGCTTAAAAGGTCTGACACAGAATATTTGCTACTCTAGCAAACCAAGGGTTTTGATGTCTACTGAAATCTTTCTTTCCCTGATTTAATGTTTTCACTCTATTTTTGATTTTTTCTTAACATTGTTGTCCTAAACTCTTAAGCTAACAGAAACAAAATTTCAAGTTAAGAGGTAAAATGATCACATAGCCATTAAAAAATTTGTAATCTACAATAAAATCAACTCACCAACTGAATGAGTGATGGGGTTCTGTAGGCTGGGAATTACCACAGAGTAGGTAGGTGAGCAATAAGGATAAACTGTTGTTGAATTTGTAGAGATGATATTCTGTGTGGTACCAGAAAGTACATTGGAAACGCTTAGAGGGAAGCGTTTTCGCTTCCCTGGACGAGGCTGATAAATCCAACCTAGAGAAGATAAACTATTTTTAATTTGAACATATAGATCCTATTTAGCCTTTAAATAGTTCTTTGCACATTAGAAGTCCAAAACACTTCTAAGTCTTCATTGTCTAAAGTATCTTTTCCAGCTCTATGATACCATTTCTGTGCATTTTAGCATATATATCCATATGGCTCCTAAGTAGTGGCCAATGTTGTAACCCATAATACAAAGGAAGAGGAAGGGCAAATGTCTTTTATCCAAAGACACATAATGAATTTATAGTAAAATCAACATTAAAGGCACTGAGTTTGAATCCCAAAGCTTTTCCTCTACCCATAAAACAATGCCCCAGTAAGATACTATTTGTCTCCTCCTGTTTCCTCACTTTCTATAAGACACAATTATCTATATCTTACGATGAAGTGGTTACTAATGACCAGTCACTATTTTTATGCCTTCTTCAGAAAGAGTCACTCTCTTAGACTTGGCAGTCTCCAAGTCCACAAACCACCCAATTTCCTTCCAAACTCAGAAAAGTGGAGTTAGGGCAGTTGTAGCCACTGCATAACCAAGAGAATCACTGGTTCCCTGTAACCACTGCTCTGACGATTCCCCCCTAGAACCTTTCTCCTACTACTTTAGAAAAATAGTTATTCTTTTCCCACCATGCACAATATGTTGGCCATACACTGTGCTTTTACCAAGCTTAATATCAATTTCCTCACTGCTGGGGAGAGAATCAGAATTTATTTCAAACTACATCATGATGAGGATAAATTTATCAATCAGAAGGCAGCACTATATTCTGATAATCATATAATATTAAAATGGAGCATGGTGTTAATGCCTGTAGCATGCCCTGCATATTTTCTCTGTTGCTCTGATCTGAACTTCATTTTCTAGCATATTTGAAAAATTATAGCCTAGAACTCTGGAGCTTTACCTTCATTACGTTTATATTTATATATTTAATCAAAACGACAGTAAAACTGTTTGTCCCCAGGTTTGCATTAGTTGGCAAATATGAGGCCAGATATCCCTCTACTTTGTGCTGTTTAAGGAAACTTATGCCCAGTATCAATTAAATCATTACTGTAATATTAGCCAGTATTTTCTCTATTGTACATATCAGATTAGAAAAAAATTACATTTTTGTATTTCAGTCTCAAACTAACCTATTCTTTACCTAAATAAATTTAAAGAAATTAGAAAGAGGCTTTGTTCATTTCATTTGATTACCAGGAAATTCCTCTCTGTGCTTTTCTTTAATCTTTTGTGCTTCATCATAATAGGGTTTCTTTTGTTCTTCACTAAGTTTGTTCCACTCTAACCCGAGCTGGACACTGATTTCTGCATTGTTGGCTGCTGGGTTAGCTTTGGCTAGTGCTGGCCGGTGGATCCTTGCCCAAACCATAAATGCATTCATGGGTCGCTTCACATGACCATTTCTGTCCTTACTGAAGGGAGTGTCTGGTATTCCTACATGACAAAAATTAAGAGACTAAATTAATGTGCCACACACACACACAATTTTAAAGTGAAGTGCACTTCCACCTATATTTACTTTTTAAATATCTGGAGAAAATATACACTTCAATATAGCCAAGGAACTGCCAGTGTTCCAGAATTCCTCATAACCCCTGAACTCTGCATTCTAAACTGTGGCTTAGAAAGACTCTTCTCTTCCTCAAAAAGAATAATATTGTTGAAGATACTGTGGAAGTAATAACGTTGAAGACACAGTAAACTGCTGGCTTACTACTTCTTTGAGCTATATTAATATCTCTAACAATAATTAACATTTAGTTTATTTCCCATTAAAATATTCTAGTACTGGGGGACAGGAATTAGGACTTATTAATGACTATAATCCCAGCGCTAGGTGGGTGTACCCTAAATGTTTAAAGGAATTCATTTACATGCCACTGGAGTGCCCATTCAAGCAAAAATACTTATAATATTAATATACTATATTATTTATATTTTGTCATGAAGGTGAAGCACCTGCCAAGGTGGGTCACTAACACTAGTTCCATGTCCCAGGAGAAAAAATAAGAGGAAAATAAGAAAGGTGACTTTTTGAAAATCACAGAGACAGCTGAAATTACAATAAAGGAAGTTGTTTAAATTCACATCTCTTACATAATTCATCAAAAACCACTGCCTATACACTTCATATACTGTTTCTCTTTATTTTAGGGTTACTTGATATATAAAATTTTAAAATGCACAAAGGATGAAATAAGTATTATAAAGAAAGCTTCCCCTTTCTCTCCTTTAGAAAATGAAAACAAAGTTTAAAAATTACTGATGATAAAAAGCAAGAGTATGGGGTACAGATGAACTTATTTGCAAAGCAGAAATAGAGACACAGATGTAGAGAGAACAAACATACGGGTACCACGGTGGGGAAGGGGAGGGTGGGATGAATTGGGAGATTGGGATTGACATATACACACTACTATGTGTAAAATAGATAACTGATGAAAATCTACTGTATAGCACAGGGAACTCTACTCAATGCTCTGTGGTGACCTAAATAGGAAGGAAATCCAAAAAAGGGGATATATGTATACATATAGCTGATTCACTTTGTTGTACAGCAGAAACTAACACAACATTGTAAAGCAACTATACTCTAATAAAATTTTAGAAAAAAAAAAAAGCAAGAGGGTGGGGTGGGGAGGAAGAATCAGTAAAGAAAATAAGAAAACAATGAAGATAAAAGTCAATGAAGATATGAACTGAAGATTAATATGACTTTCCATTGACATTTACTGCCATAGTATTATGTCTGAATTACATCTTAAAATAAGAATTTTCTAGCTATATATTTGGAAATAACGGATAGAAATAAAATATCTACTTGTAATTGTTACTACTGTAACTGTGGTCATTTCTTTGAAAACAACTTATTCTACAGTGTTTTCATTTTCTATATTTCTGTAAGTCCTTAGCTTTTAGAATACCATTACAATTAATTATGTACTGTTCTCGCCTAGAAAATGTTTACTCTTCATTTTTAAAGAAGATAAATCACCTCTATATCCAGTATAAACTTTCCTGTTTATTTTTTCATTAAACACTATTTTTTCTTGTTTCTTGATACATGTAAAAATACTGAGCTACTATAATACAATATTTTAAAATGTTGATTATCTGTAGCATATAAACTGAGGGCTTTGTGTTATCTAGCAAGAATATTTCTATTTTTGTGTATAAACATTAGTCACATCTAAATCTCATCCTCCACTGGGCCTTAAAAAAATAATTATTTTTAATGTTTGGGAATCCTGAACGTGTTAGCGTATTTTACTGCTATATGTACAAGTCAGAAGTGATCTTTGCAGACTTTGCCCTGAACCCATGATTTTATTTTTCTAGTTTATGCTTCTCAACAGCTGACATGTCAGCTACGGGACAACAGCCGAAGTTTAAAAAACCAGATTGTTTCCCCTGCCGTCTAATACCTGCATCTGAGGGAAGCACGGTGAGTGGGACATCTTTGGTTTCAATTTTTACAGAAGGCTCCAGTAAGGACTGCATTTTAATAGGCACTGGTGTCAAGGGGACCTTGGTCAATCCTATCAGCTCTGAAGGTGGAGGTCCCTGAAACTGGATCCGGGCTCCAGGGGGCACGGTAGGAAGAGTCAAAGGGATCCTGAGGTCTTGCTGGTGCGGCCCAAAGGCAATGGACGGCTGGGTCAGGATGACATCCTTGCTGCCATGGACCAGGCCACTGGACGCGGGCTCTGTGCCGAGCCTGGAGTCCTCGCGGAGTCTCTCAGGCTCCTCCGTTTTGATGACTCCTTCGCTGATAGCCGCCAGGCTTTTGCCTTCCCCTCCTTTCGCCGCCGTGTAGCTCATGACCTCCTCCTCTTCCTCCATCTTGCCCTTCTCGTCCCCTCGGGGGCTGTCGATGGCCGGCCTGGGGCCTCCTGCCTTCGCTGCCTTGGAGGCCTTAGGGCCCGCCTTGACGGCCCTCCGAGGTCCCACTGACGGATCCAAGCTGGGGTCCAGCTCCTGCTTCTCTGCCTTAACGTGCACCGGCAGGGGCTGCCCCAGGTGCAACTGAGGCCTGCAGGGGGAGCCGTCGGGCGGCGGCGGCGGCGGCAGCAGTAGCAGCTCGGGCCTCAGCTGCAGCAGCCGCGCCTGCGCGGGAGAGGCTGCTGCGCCTTCCTCCCGGGCCTGAAGCAGTGGTGGCCCAGGCGGCAGCAGTAACACCTGCTCCGGGTTCACCTGCAGTACCCGCCGTGCCGCGGGCTGTACGCCCGACGCCGGAGCCTCCCCGCACGACGAGGCTAACGTCACAATGGCGGCCGCGCACGGGGCGAGCGGCGACGCAGAGGGCTCCGCGGCCGCTGCCCGAAAAAAGGCGCCCTCGACAGCCACCGGGGGCGGAGCGGGGCGCAGCGGGCGCGGCGGGGTCGCCCGCGGCAGTTGGCGCGGCTGAGGCGGCGGCTCCGGCCTGGCTCTCTCCATGGGGGGAGGGGGACGCCCCGGCCTACTCCCGGCCCGGATTGTAAGCTCAGCCGTTTGTTGGCGACCTTCTCCCCTCCCCCTTTCAGTTAAGACCCTTCCACGGCCTTTGCTACCCAGAACCCTACGCGGTTCAAAAAGCAGCCCTTGGTCTTGGCCTCGCCCAACCACAAGTGTCTTGGTACCCCCCCACCCGCGGTCCGCCAATCACAGGCACGTTCTCCGGCTCCTCCCGCCCTCCACGCACCCCTGCTACCGAGCCGTCGAATCGCCCGCTACGGCCGGGCCGCGGCACGTGCTGCCCATTTTCCCCCTGTGACTCTCCCTCTCTTCCGGTGTTCTCTTCAGTCCGTTGTCCTTAGTTACCTCTCCCCAGTCCGGAGCGCCCGACAGTGGCGTTGCCCAGGAAACAGAGCGGTTCCACGCCACTGACCTCCAGGAGATAAAGCCGTGTGAGTTCTGCACAAGAGCTGGACATACCTGCCTTGTACACGCGGTTTGCAATTCCAGAATACCTTGTGGGCCCTGACTCTCACCGGGGTCTTTGGATTTGTGCCAAGGGAAAAGAAGGCAAATTTTGCAACTTCTCAATAATCCCCTTAGCTGATCTTGATGGGAAGAGTGTTCGACTTGGCCATTACTGTGCTAGTTAAACTTTATATTTATCACCACTCCTGTGGGCCCTGCTTGCAAAATACATCCCAAATTCATCCACCTCTTTCGGTTTCTCCCACCATTACTCTGTTCTGCTCTTACATCTGGATACTGCTATAGCAGTATCTTTTTTTCACCTTTCACCTGGATCTTTCACCTGGATACTGCTATAGCTCTGTAAATAGTCTCCCTGCTTTTCGCTTTTGTCTCACTACGCTCTAGCTGCCAAGAATCTTTGAAAAATACAAATCTAGTCCTCCCACACCCTCTCTCCAAAAACAAATCTTCTCAGGCCACTCAGTAAAGGTTTAAAGTCTTGGCAAGGTCCGTAAGGCCCCAAATGGCTTGGGCTGTAGTTCTCCTATTTACCACTCTAGCCCCAGCTTTAGCTACACTGCCTCTCCTCATTCTTTCTCCTACTTCAAAGATGTTTGAATATGACTTCACTTGTATTTCTCCCTTGTGTCTCCTTAACACCTCCTGCTCCTATTCCGAATTGCACCTCAACTAGTACTTCCTCAAAGTCGTGTTCTCTGACTCTGAAAATCAGGTCAAATCTCCTTTATGGACTCGTACCTCTATCACCTCTTTTAAAGTTCTTACCACAATTTGTAATTACATATTTCTTTATGGCATTATTCTGCTGCCTCCTCCACTTTACTTATACTCCTTGAGGGCCGACTGTGTTTTGTAAATCTCCAATGCCAATCATAGAGCCTGGCGTATAGTAGACATTCAGTAAATACCTGTTGAATGAATAAAGACTGTCGTAGTCTGATAATAAAATAGTAATAATCACTACCTATATTAAGGGCTTACTTTTATGCTAGGCATTGCTTCAAGTCCTTCGCGTGCTTATGCCTCTCCTTTTACTAGTACTGTATTGTGTTTGTTTCCATTAAATATCACCAAGAGAAAGAAGAAATCTTGTATTAACATTTGTTACATTTCTAAGTGATGTCCTGATTAAAAGCTATAAATTTATCTTGAAGCAGATAATTTTTTGCCACCAGAACAAGTTAGCTCTCAAAGAAGACCTGACCCAACTCTCTTTCTAATGCCCTGTTGTCAAATGTGGCAAATAGGAGTTCTTACAACTGGCAGGTAGTCAAGGGCAGTGGTTCTCAAATTTTTATCTCAGGAACCCCTTATATCCACAAAAATGATTGAAGATTCCAAAGAGCTTTTATTTATGTGGTTTTATCTGTCAATATTTGCCATATTATAAATAAAAACTGAGGACTAGTTATAGTTATCAATTCATTTTAATTCATTCATTAATGAATAGTTATCAATTCATTTTAAGTATCTATAATAAACCCATTACATATTAACATAACACATTATCATGATAAAACTATGTTTTCCCCAAAATTAGAAGAGTGGAATTGTGAATCTACTGTCTTAGTGGAAAAAAAAAGTTGGATTCTCACGGCTGCTTCTGCATTCAGTTTGTTGTAATTCATGCCATATAGGCTCTAGAAAGCTTCACTGTGCACTCATGAGAGTATGAAGTAAAAAAGGCAAATATTGTCTTAGAATTATTATGAAAGTACTGTTAACCTAGCAGACACTCTGAGTAAGTCCCTGAACCACACTTTGAGAACCACTGACAAAACAAAGGCTAGTGAAAGAGGCAAAGGAATAAATCATGTTAGTGTTGATTTTGTGCAAGACTAATACATATTCCAATCTGAATTAGTAATTCAAGGCACGTGATGTGTCAGTCCTCTGTGGTAGCAGTGCAAATAGTATATGGGGAGTATATTTTAAGCAGAAAGCAATCTTTTTAAAAAACAAAAAACTTTTACTGAGGTTTGATTTATATATAATGTTTACAATTAAATGTACAATTTGATGTGTTTTAATAAATATTTAAAGTTGTGTAACCATCACTACAATCCAGTTTCAGAACATTTTCATAAACTCAAAAAAGTTGGGGTAAGTTAACTCTAAAAGTCCTCTTGTTCCCATTTGCTCCCACCTTCAACCCCAAACAACCGCTTGTATGCTTTCTGTCTCTATAATTTTGCCTTTTCTAGAAATTTCATATAAATAGAATCAAATAATGTGTAGGCTTATATGTCTGGCTTCTTTAACTTAGCATAATGTTTTTGAGGTTCATCCAAGTTTAATGTATCAGTAATTATTTTATTACAGCATAGTATTCCATAGTATGGAAATACCTAATTATTCAGGGATATTTTATTGTAAGATGTCTCCCACTCATTTTGTTTATCCACTGACTGGCTGATGAGCATTTGGATTATTTCTAGGTTTTGTCTGCTATCAATATGATGCCCATTCATGTATAAATATGTGTGGGGACATAGGTTTGCATCTCACTTGGGTAGGCACCTAGGAGCAGACTTACTAGGTTATGTGGTAAGTTTATGTATAACATTTTACAAAACTGCCAAACTGCTTTGCAAAATGTATCATCTTACATTTCCACCTACAACATATGAGGGTCCCAGTTTCTCTACCTCTTCTCCAATATTTGGTGTCAAAAGCCTTTAAAATTTTATCCATTCTATATAGTATATATAGAATATATTATAGTAGTAGTAAATAATTGTGTTTTAAAACAGTGAATAATAATTCACAGTGAATAATAATGTTGAGCATCTCTTCATGTGCTTAGTTGCTATTCATATATCTTTATTGCCTAGTTCTGTTTAAGTTTCTTTTGCCTATTTAGATTGTGTTGTTGATTTTCTTATTTTTGATTTTTAAGGATTCTTAATATATTCTGGATATAAGTTCTTTATTAGATATATGTTTTGCAAATATTTTCTTTCAGTCTGTGGCTTGTCTTTTTGTTCTGTTTTTTTTTTCATTCCTAGTAGTGTCTTCTGAAGAGCAACATTTTTACCTTTGATGAAGTCTAATTTGTCAATATGCCATTGATTATATTTAAGAAATCATTGCCTAACCTAAGATTAAAGATTTTTCTCTCGTGATTTTCTCTAGAAGAGTTTAGTTTTAGTTCTTACATTTAGCACTGTGATCCATTTCAAGTTAATTTTTATGCAAAGAAAGAACTAGTTCGTTACCTAACACTCTACAGTTGTTTCAGTATCATTTGTTGAAAAAACTATCCTTTTCCCATTGAATTACTTTCTTTTGTTGAAAATTAATTGACAATATATGCATGACTTTATTTCTGAACTCTGTTCGGTTCCTCTGATCTATGTCTGTCTTTATGCTAATAACACATTGTCTTGATTACTATATCTTTATGGTAAATTTGGGGATTATGTCATATAAGTTTTCAAACTTAGCTCTTTTTCAAAATCATATTGGCTAGTCTTGATCCTTTAGATTTTCATATAAATTTTAGTATCAGCTTATCAATTTTCACCAAAAACAAGCCTGCTGATTTAGGTAGCCTGCACTGGATCTATAGATCAATTTCGGAAAAGTGGACTTCTAAGCAATATTGAGTCTTCAGTTTGCAGGCATGGGATACATGTCCATTTATTTCAGTCTTTAATTTTTCTTGACAATGTATAATATTCAGTGTACAGTTCTGCACTTCTTTTGTTAACTTCATTCTAAATACTTTAATTTCTGATGCTATTATGAATGTAATTGTTTTCTTAATTTCATTTCTAGTTGGTTATGTACTGATTTTGTATTCATTGCCTTACTGCACTGGCTAGAAGCTCCAGTCTAGTGTAGAATACAAGTAGTGAGAGTGAACATCTTTGCTTTGTACCTAGTGTCAGGGGAAAAGCAATGTCTTTTATTTAAGCGTGATGTTAGTTGTAGGTTTTATGTAGCTGCCTTTTATCAAATTAAAGATGTTTCTTTCTCTCTTTCCTAGTTTGTTGAGAGCTTTATCATGAATGTTTGTTGCATTTTATCAAATGCTTTTTCTTTTTTTAAATTCACATCTAAATTTTTTCATTTTAAATTTACACAGTTGCAAATGATTTGATTTCTGAGGTATTGTAAATATTGATACTTTATCGAAAGCTTTTTCTATATATTTTGAGATTGTCATACTCCCCTTTAGTCTAGGGGTCAGCAACATTTTCCAGAAACGGCCATATAGTAAATATTTTTGGTTTTGTGAGCTATATGATCTTTGTTGCAACCGATCAACTCTGTTTTATTGTAGAATGGAAGCAATTATAGAGCACGTGTAAATGAGTGGGCATGATTGTTTTCCAATCAAACTTTATTTAAAAAAACAAAAGTCATGCCAGATTTGGTCTCTGAGCTGTGGTTTGCTGACCCCTGCTTTAGTCTGTTACTACTACATGTATTACATTAATTGATAGTCAGATGTTAAACTAGCCTGCCTTAGTGGATACACCTATTTGGTCATAATGTATAATCTTTTTTATACAGTATTATACACAGTTACTATTCTAAGAATTTTAGCATTTATATTCATGATGGATATTGGTCTGTAGTTTTCTTGTGATATCTTTGAAACTTTGGTATCAGTAAAATGAGCTGGAAAGTGTTCCATTCGCTTCTAGTTTTGAAAGGATTTGTGTTGTATTGGTATTATCAATTCC